TGCCCACAGGATGAGATGGAGAGGGGAGGAACATGGGCATCCTGGGCATCCGGCTACCATCACCTTCCTCCTGGAACACCGACTGCAATCCTGCAAAAATAGATCTGACAGCTCAGACCCCTGAGAGTCACTAATAACATGAACATGCTGGACAAAGACATCCTGTGTGTGCGTAATGTAAGCAGACAGAGGAGGAAGACACGAGATTTCATCAGACTCCTCCAAATGAAACACAACTCACAATTTATGAATGGCCTGTTTCTGGAATTTTCCATGTAATATTTTTGGACCATGCTTATTTACCGGTTATTGAAACCAGAGAAAGAGAGACTGAGCAATGGAAGGCTCCCGTCTACTCACAGCATGGAGGATGACTGGGCTTTGAAGAGGTGCTGTGATGCCTGCTGAAACATGAACCAGCCTCAAAGCCGGAAGTGAAATGAGCCAATCAGAAAGAGACGAGCAGTGTGAGGTTGTACCTCGTCAGATTCACAGAACCAGAACGCAGAACGGTGTTGTTGTTAGGGCTGGGCAGAGGAGAGAACGGGAGCTGCTGTTCAAGGTGGGGGACAGAGCTTCAGTTTCCCAGATGAGGAGGTGTGGGGATGGTTGATGGTGAGGGTTGCACATCAGGAGCTACTTGATGCTGCTGAACTGTGTGCACTTCAGATGGTTAGGATAAGGCTGGGGTGGAGCCCACTGGTAGAATATGGCTGAGTGTGTAAAAGGCCTTGGGACCAGTTTCCAGCACTGAAGGAAATAAAGTAAGTCTGGTAAATGTTATTTCTGCCTCACAAAATAAAACCAGCCAGGTGCTCAAACAAGTGCACTGATTTGCCTTCAGTTCCAAGGAGCCTGGCCTGGAGAGTTGAGCTACCTCAGCTTGGAGAGTTCAGTCCTGGCACATTCCAGAAGAAATGCTTGACTCCTGATAGGCTCTGGGGACACTTTGTGTAAGACCTGGGAAGTTGCAGAGAAGAGTCTGTACAGCTGGGGCTGAAGTTCACTCAATGCAGTTTAGACCAGCAATGGGGTTTAGGCAAGTGGCTGGGATTGCCTGAGTCTGGCCTTGGAGGGTGTGGAGACCGAGGTCGGCCGTGCCAGTGCTCCACGTCTAGGGCACCCACAGATCCCTGGACACTGAGGCCCTGTGAGCTTTCCTCACATTGTGGCTGGGAGTCCTGACTGCTGTCTGGCAGATGTCCTCTGAGGACAGCTGGGCGTGCGTGCCCCACCCCAGGGCTCTGCCTGCCCCTCCAACTGCTGCTGACTCTCCTGTGTCTGTCCAGCCTGGGCTGTGAGTCCAGCAGCTTTTCTGCTTCTTTGAGTCCTTCTAGGAACTCATGGCTCCTCAGTGCCTTGGGGACCTACACCATCATCTGTCACCCTGTCTTAACAGAAGCCCATTTACACCTGTCCCCTAAGACCCACGGGGTCTTGATATTGGCCTGCAGGTTGTCAGCAACACAGTCACCACTGATGGGGCTTGATGTATGACACAGGGTCAGCTGTCACTTGCTGAACACCAGCACCTCTTATTTCTGTTTTTTCTTTCCTTTCCTTCCTTGCTTAGCTTTCACTCTCTACAATTTTCTTTTTATGATACAGGGTGTCCTCACTGTGTAGTCCAGGTAGACGTGGATCTTGTTACATAGCCCAGGCTAACCTCAGACTTGTCATCCTCTTTTCTCCATCTCCCAAGCGCTAGACTAACAAGCCTGTGCCTCTACTCTTGGCTCAGCAAACCTTTTTCTCATAACATTCAAGTTGTCAATTCAGGAAGGATGAAGTAGTAGGTAACGGTTGATTGTAGACTGTTGTCTGAAGACTCAGCAGAGATGGGGAACATGATTGCACCAGAAACCAAACTGCAGCCACAATTCAGGTTTATTTTCCATCAGACTAAGCTGGAGAACAGCTTAGTCCGTGCTAGCACAGAGCTGGCAGGGGCACTGGGCAACTGGCATTGCAAAAGTGCCCTGATTCCTGGTCCAGGGCTGTCCAGCAGGCACTGAGAAGGTAAAGCGCTGCAGGAGGCAGGTGAAGATGAGGAAGAGCTGCATGCGGGCCAGTGGCTCCCCGAGGAATACGCAGTGGCCTGTGGATGGTTTCAGGGTTTAGTCAACCTGAGGTCTGGCTACATTGTCCAAGGCATCCTGGGATGGAGGCAGGAAGCCAAGCCTTCCCTTCATGCACCGGCATGAAGGCCTTAGGCTTCACAAAGCAGCCCTGGGCATCCAGAAAGTGTTCTGGATGGAACTGGAGGAGCTTCTCCCAGGTGTTCTCATCCTTCAGCACAGAGGACAGGTTGGTGATGAGTGTCATGCAGGAGATACGTGGTATGAATAGGGACTGGGATGGGGACACCAAGACTCTGACCACTAAGTTCCCATGCACAGCCTCTCCCTACACACACCTAGACCCTTTCATGAAACCTCAGCCCAGAGCCTCTCAATGATGCCATGGAAGGGTCCTGTAACAAGGCTCCCATGGGTGCCCAAACCACCTGTCCCTGTGTGCAGTGATTCCTAAAGTCCCCTTTGACTTATTTTTGTATTTCCCTCGGGAATCTCTGGACAATGGCTACATTTTATATACACCAGGTCCATCCTGTCAGTATGCTGGAAGCCCAGGATGTGGCAGTCTAGCTCTTTTCTGTCCTTCTTTGGTTGTTGCATTGCCATAGTAAGAGGGCCCATGCCTACCTTGGGGATGAGAAGCCCTGTACTTCAATGTCATGTGTGGAAAACTCAATGGGGCGATGCCCCCAAAGCACTGTACCCTGTGAATCACAGCAGGGGCGAAGAGCACGCAGGTCTGCTCTGCCATCTCTAGATGCCACATCTGCCCTATGAGTTCATCGATCTCCTATTGTAAGCATCCTGGAGGAACAGTATCCCCTCAGCAAAACAGTCCTACAGGACTGCCCCTTGACCCTCACCTACCTCAGTCTAAGGCGCTGGGTCCATGTGAGTAACACAATTACCAAGGCCTGCAGATTGGTCCAGTTGGTTGTCACATGGAGCCAGTTTTTTTATTCACTCTTTGCTTCTTGCTGTGTCAAGCCCCATCTCAAAGAGTCATCTTGATGGGGATTCAAAGGACTTAAAGGGCAGCGTCCTTCTGATCCCAGAGGCCTGTGGCCAGGATGAGCCAACCATGAGGAGAACTGTTCAAACGAGCCCCAAGCCTTCCAACATTTGGCCCCTATCTGTCAGGAATTGCTGGCTCAAATGTGCCTTGATAGCTCTGTAAAAGGCAGTAGGCCCTGCCTTCGCTGACCAGCCGGTGCTCTTAACCACTGCTGAGAGCCATCTCTCCAGTCGCCCAGTTCTTAATTTTTAATTTGCAGTTCCCTCACTTAGTATAACAGTTTCCCATTCTATCCATTTACCTGCAAATTTTGCTGAGTAGAACTCCACTGTTTATTTATTTATTATTTATTTTATTTTTGGTCCTTTTGAGACAGGGTTTTCCTGTAGCCTCAGCTGTCCTGGAACTCACTATGTAGACCAGGCTGGCCTTGATCTCAGAGATTCGCCTGCCTCTGCCTCCCAAGTGCTGGGATTAAAGGCATGCGCCACCATGCCCGACTTATTTTTATTTTTTGGTCTTTTTGAAGCAGGGTCTCCCTGTAAGCCCCAGCTGTCCTGGAACTCACTATGTAGACCAGGCTGGCCTTGAACTCACAGAGATTCAGCCTAATTAGTAAAGTTTCTTTCATAGCTCAATCAGTCCATTCCCGGCACGGCTTATCTTTTTATTTTTATTTTTTGGTCTTTTTGAAGCAGAGTCTCCCTGTAAGCCCCAGCTGTCCTGGAACTCACTATGTAGACCAGGCTGGCCTTGATCTCAAGAGAGCCACCTGCCTCTGCCTCCCAAGTGCTGGGACTATAGGCGTGCACCACCATGCCCGGTAAACTCCATTGTTTAAATGTAGCACATTTTCATTAACCACTCATCAGATGAGGGGCACTTAGGTTGCTTCCATCTCTTAGGTATTTGTAAAAGAGCAGCAACAAACATGGTTGTACAAGTATCTCTGTAATAGGATGATACGGATGATATGCCAAGGAGTAATATAACTGGGTCATATAGTAGGTTCATTTTAAGATTTTTTTTTTTTTGGTCTTTTGGATACAGGATCTCCCTGTAGCCCCAGCTATCCTTGAACTCACAGAGATAGAGATCTGCCTGCCTCCACCTCCCGAGTGCTGGGATTAAGGGTGTGCGCCACCATGCCCAGCAGAATTTCTTATTTTTATTATTTATTTTAATTTTTAAAAACTTTATTATTTATTTATTTAATGTGTGGTGTGTGTTAAGCCTGCATGTATGTACCTGTGTCATGCAACGCCCGCGGAGACCACAAGAGGTCCTCATTCCCTAAAACTGGTGATTTGAATAGTCGGTAGCCGCCACGTGGGTGCTGGGATTCATACCTGGGTCCTCTGTAAGAGCAGCCAGTGCTTTTAACTGCTGAGCCAGCTCTCCAGTCCAGCTGGCAGGATTTCTTAAAGCTCAAGATTTACAGGGTCAAGAGATTGCCCTAGGAGCCCTGGGAGTCTGGAACAGCCGGCTCTGGGCTCCGCCCTCGCCCACTGCACTGCAGGGTGCAGGCTCACCTGCCAGTCCTCAACGCCCTGCAACCACCTGAAGCCAGTCAAGGTCCAATCCTGACCGGCCTCTGCCTTCCGGGTTCCCGCCGTCTTTTGGCGCCTGGTTCCTGACTCAGGTCCCACTTCCCTTCCCGGCCGTCCAATCCGGAGGAGTCTAGGCACTGGCCACGCCCCATTTCCCGTCCCTCTCCGCGCGTCGCAGCTGACCCCGCCCCCGATCCCGGCCCCAGCTCAAAGCAACGAGTCACGCTCTCTTTCCGCGCCTGGCTCAGCCTGGCCGCGTCCCCTCGGTGTGCGGTGCAGCTGGCCCCGCCCATGCCTCCCCTACCCTCTCCGCGCGCGCCGCTGCCATGCCCTGGCCACGCCCTCTCCCTCGGATGGCCCCGCCCCTCCCGCGCCCCGCACTGGCCCCGCCCCTGACTCCGCCCTTCTTGGCCTCTCCCGCGCGACCTCGGCAGCGGCTGCGGTGACTCCTCCCGGCCCGCAGAGCCGTGGCCATGGCTGTCACCGCCGAGGGCTCCCGCAGAAAGGAGCGGATCCTCTGTCTGTTCGACGTGGACGGGACCCTCACGCCGGCTCGCCAGGTAGTCCGAAGCTCGGGAGGTCCGGCCGAATGTCACGCGGACACCGGTGGGCTAGCCTGGGACCTGCAGCGGGACACGGCGCACAGCTCCGCGACCCGGCGAGGACCGCAGCGGTACCGGCCGCTTTCACCCAGGTCCTCCCGGCCACAGCGACCCCGGGATTGGCTCCTGCCCCCAGGCTGCGCCGGTCCAGTGTGCTCGCCAACCCCCAGCGGGGCTCCTGCAGTGCTGGTCCCTCAGCATCAGAAACCCGGGTTCCCTACCGGGCTCGGCGCTCATCCAAGCAGCAGAGTCGCCCTCTAGTGGGGGCGAGAAAGGAGCCATCGCCCCCTGCAGCTGCAGGCCTAGTGCTGGGGGTTTAGTTCCTTGAGCCTCTTAAGGGCTTTACCTTCCACCCCGGGTCGCGGAGAGACAGCGAGCTGCTTTTCTGATGAGTTTTAATTTTTATGTATTTCATACATAAAATCATCTTTACACCCCCTTCCCCATTGGCACCCTCCCGTACCCCCCCCTCACTGGAGTTCATACTTTGTCATTTGTGTAAAGGCTGTTATGTCAAGTTAGTGTCCCCAGATGTCCCTCAGTGCAAGTTCATCCACTGGGATGACTAGATAGCCTACCTAGAGCCCCTTCCTTTAAGAAGATCAGCTCTTCCTCACCCAACCGTAATCAGCTGTCAATAATTCTTCATCTAAGATTGGGGCCTGCTGTTCATTTCCACAGTTCTGTGCTGGCTTTTTGTCTGCTTGAGTTTGCATGGGTCTTGTGCATGCTGACACCATTGCTGTAGGTTTGTATGAGAAGACTCCCAGGAGCCTGTAGGACTATTTCTGTTTGGTCTCTCACCTCCTCCCTGGCTCTTACAGATTTTCTGCCCCCTCTTCCACAATGGTCCCTGAGCCCTGGGTGTCCTGTCCAAGGACCCACACTCTGTAGACTCTTATTCTCTGTATTTTGGCCATTTGTGACCTTTTGCTTTCCTGGCCCTCTGTTGCATGAGGGAGCTTCATTGATGAGAGCTGAAAGATGCATTAGTGTTCTCTTCATCCCTTGTTTTATGTTCCGTGAGCCTTAGGTGAGAGGTTGCCTCCTATATGTGCCACTTAAACTTGGGCAGTTCACAGACAATCTCTGTGTGTGACCAGTTGTGGAACTCTGTAATTATCTCTGTCTCTTGAAAAAGAAGCTTCTTTGATGGGTGCTGACTGGAATACTTGTCTATAGATTTGAGGATACATATTACATTTGTTTATAAGGATTTGGTGCTATGATTCACAAATGAGGGAGAACATATTTCATTTTTCTGTGTTACTTCACTTAGTATAACAGTTTCTAGATCCATCCATTTATCTGAAAATTTCATTATTTCATCTTTTTTTTTTTTTGAGACACGGTCTTCCTGTAGCCTGAGCTGTCCTGGAATTCACTACTTAGACCAGGCTGGCCTTGAACTCACAGAGATCCCCCTGCCTCTGCCTCCTGAGTGCTGGGATTAAAGGCGTGCACCACCACACCCAGCTATTTCATCTTTCTTTACTGCTGAGCAGAACTCTGTTGTACAAATGTACCACATTTTCGTTAACCACCCTTCAGCTGAGGGGCACTTAGGTTGCTTCATCTCTTAGCTATTGTGAGAAGAGCAGCAACAAACATCGTTGAACAACTGTCTCTGCAATAGGATGAGTCGTTTGGGTGTATGCCAAGGAGTGGGATAACTGGGTCAAATGGCAGGTTCATTTGTAGTTTTAAAAGCAGTCTCTATACTGCTTTCTGTAGGGATTGCATGAGTTTGCAATCCCACCAACAGTGAGTCAGATCTTTGCTCCACACCTGTTTTTTCTCCCATTTCTCACTCATCCTGAGTGAGTCTTCAGATCTACCTCAGCAGTTAGATGCCTGAATCAGCAGACTTCATTCTTGTCCATCCTGGAGTATTCCACCTTTCAGGGTGGGGCCCAAAGGATGACCTGGGGTTTATCCCGTAGTAGGATCAGTGGGATTAAGTTATTTGGCAGATGCTGATGGGAGCCCAGGTCTTAGGCTCCCAATATCCCTTCACATCTCCAGAAGGGTTCAGCTACACTTCTTTCCAGCAGGGATGGATTGGAGGAGGGAAGATACAGCAGGACTGGAGAGAGTGTGGTCCAGGCTAGGCATGGCTCCCTGACCCTGCACTCATTCTGCAAGGCCTGAGTGCTTGGTGGATTTCAGATATAAATTTTATTTATTTATTTATTTATTTATTTATTTATTTATTTATTATCTTTTTGAAACAGGGTCTCCCTGTAGCCCCAGCTGGCCTGGAACTCACTGTGTAGACCAGGCTGGCCTTGAACTCACAGAGATCCGCCTGCCTCTGCCTCCCACACCCAGCAGCTGTTTTAACTCTGCTTTGCCTGCATATATGCATGCCTGGAGCCCTCCAAATAGTTAACCGTTGTGCGCCACCTTGTGGGTGCTGGGAACCAATCCCAGGTCCTTTGCAAGAGCAGCAAGTGCTCCTACTGCTGAGCTATCTCTCCAGCCCCTACCTGGGTCTTTTATTTCCTTTGTGTGGAGCGCTCACCTGCCACAGCACAAGAGGTCAGAGGATAATTTGCAGGAGCTGCTTCTTTCCATGTGGGTCCCAGGAATTGAAGTCAGGTGGTTAGGTCACTTAGCAGGTTCCTCTGTTGTACCCCATCCACTGGACCCAAAAAGACCACCGAGGACCCAACACACCAGAATGCAAAAGCAAAGGTTTATGGTTTATTCGGGCTTAAGCTTGGGCTCTCAGACCTCACCAACTCAACGGATCCGTGCTGAGAGCCCAGAGTAAGGGAGAGTAGAGCCTTTTATAGGTTTTAGACAAAGAGAGGAGGGGGATACCAAA